CCCTGGATTCCCTGGATTTTCAGTTCCTATCTATACCAGTGTACATCCTCTGGTCTAGCCAGACTTGCAAGGTTGAATTCGAGTCATGGTAGTGGGAACGGGGAGGAAACATTTAGGAACTAGAGGAAAGTTGTATTTCTTATCGTTGTTACATCGCACCCTGACTGGCTCGTCTCCTCCCCAAGACCCCTGAGTAGATCCTTCTTTAGGCCCTGTCTGATCAACCTCCGCTTCGCTTCCACTGTCCTGAAATGGATGCTGACACTGTTGTGCTTTTGCTGTCGTAGCTATCCAGAAGACCCCGGGTGGCAAAGTGTGTAGCCTGCTACTAGCATAAAGGCTGGCGGTTCAAACCCACCCAGGGGCAGCATGGAAGAAAGGCCTGGCAACCTGGCTTCCCTATAGAGTAACAGCCAAGAAAGCACTAGTTTGTGGTGCATAGGGTTACAGGAGTCAGAATTAACATGCTGCCAACGGGTTGGGATTTGGGTGGGGGTGGGGGGTGGGGGGAGAGACATATAGTTGTAGGCTGCTGGGTATTGTCTGGCATGTTGAACATTTCACACGAGCAGTAGCATAATATATGTAGTCTTGTGACATTGGTGGCTTTTTCTTTGCTGATAAGTGAAGCTCACTGTATGGTGTTATACAGATAAACCAGGATTAATGTTTGCAGTACCGGAGGCAAAGGTAGCAAGGCATCCACAGCTGTTGAAGGACATGCTGGTTAAGTCAGCACGCCTGTCATCCTCTGTCGGCCTTGTGTTTGTGTGCGTGTGCACACGCTGGAGGAGGAGCCAGGAAAGGTGGTCTCTCAGCCAGGCTCCAAGTTGGGCTAGATCAGGACTCTGCAATTAAAAATAGGCTTTTTGAGGATCGGCCTCCTCTTGTTTTCCTTTTTGGGAAGCTGCCTCCCTGGGCAGGGAACGCCTGAAAGTCTGGACCGCAGGTTGAGAGGCGTGTTTGTTTAACTGCACGAGCCATAGAGGGTTGGCGTATGGCCAAAGGGAGCCAAACGAATGTGTGGTGGGCCTGGCCGTTTTACAAAAGGAAAAAGAAGAAATTGGCAAGGAACCATTTTACAGAAAAGCTGGAAGACAGAACTTTAAAAATATTTATAACATACTTAAGACAGAAATAGTGCTCATGATAAATATTGGTCACAGTGTCAGCCAAGCCAGCCTTTGACTTCCTTACTAAAAAGCACAGAAAAACACATAGCCATCCTTCTGGTCCCACTCAAAGCGACCCTCTCAGGGGCTTTTGAGGCTGTCAGTCTTCACAAGGGCAGGCAGCTGCGTCTTTCTCCCCTGGAGCAGCTGGTGGGTTTGAACCTGGGCCGAGCAGTCCATCAGTTACACAGCAACACCCCAGGCACCCTCTGGTCTCCTTGGTTCTCCAAAGGCGATTCCTCTTTTGAGTCGTTTCCTGTCCCCCTGAGCCCAGGCTTTCTCCCCTCTGTCTCAGGTGCTTTCACCAACAAACCCAGACGCACTGCCATCCAGTCAGTAGCTGACTCATACGGGACAGGGTAGCCCTGCCTCTGTGCGTTTCTGAGCCTGTAACTGTTTACAGGAGTGAAAAGCCCCGTTTTTGTCCCTGCTGGTGCAAATCGCAGCCCACGTGTCACCACCACACCACCAGGGCCCCTCTGCGGCTCTTTGAAGTGTGGATTTTGACCAAAGAAACTTTTGAGCCGGGGCCTGGGCTTCCTACGGAGCCAGGCTTCCATTTTGCCATTGGTCAGAAAGTCCAAATTAGGTAAAGTAAAGACACGGGTGAGGACTAACCTAAACCCCGGACTTGGAAGCAAGCCAGGGGACCATGAGGTGACCTTGAGCCCTTCATGCCCTGTTTGTCCCCAGAGAGAGGTTCCCAGGAGGCCCGCATTAGCCTGGTGGATCCAGCCCAGGGACTGGGTCTGAGGCCCCTCCTAGCTCCAAGCTGGAGACGGCCCCTCCCTGGCAGCTTGGGCCTCCGCCTGGTGGATGCACTGACTCCCTGCCCTCTCCCCGCAGGGTATGACTTCTGCCAGGTCCTGCAGTGGTTTGCTGAGCGGGTGGACAGGATCATCCTGCTCTTCGACGCACACAAACTGGACATCTCCGATGAGTTCTCGGAGGCCATCAAGGCCTTCCGGGGCCAGGATGACAAGATCCGCGTGGTGCTGAACAAGGCAGACCAGGTGGACACACAGCAGCTGATGCGCGTCTATGGGGCCCTCATGTGGTCCCTGGGCAAGGTCATCAACACGCCCGAGGTGCTGCGCGTGTACATCGGCTCCTTCTGGGCACAGCCCCTGCAGAACACTGACAACCGCAGGCTCTTCGAGGCCGAGGCCCAGGACCTCTTCCGGGACATCCAGAGCCTCCCGCAGAAGGCAGCCGTGCGCAAACTCAACGACCTCATCAAGCGGGCCAGGCTGGCCAAGGTAAGCGCCCTGCCGCCCTCCAGCTGCACCCCAGAAGCTGTCAGGCTAAGAACACAGCCTCAGGGTCCCATGGTACTGGTTGCCGTTAGATACCTCACGGTGAGCCCGTGCACAGCCTCAACCAACGCAGCCTGGTCCTGCATTACCCACCATCCCTGGGTGGGCGGACCATTGGTATCCACAGGGTTTTCCCTGGCTGGTGTCTTAGAAGGAGGCTGCTATGCTTTTTAAAGTCTGGAAGCGCCACGGTAACTTGTTCGCCATCATAACAGCATAGCCTGCCACTGACGGGGGTGGGGTG